ACACACACACACACACACACACACACACACACCGGGGTTGTCACAATTTGCACCTGCATATATGCAAAAATGCATAAATACATATTGGGATGTATTTAGAGATAATGGTTCGAGATATTAGTTGCAGGATAAACAAGATATAAGTAGTTACAGTACCTAAGGCAAGCGATCTGATAATTCGAGGTCCGTATATCTCATCACTATATTTGCTCAAGTTCTGGCAGCAGAGCATGTTCTTATTGGGTCAGTCCTGTATTATCGTATACACCAACACTAGTGATTTTGTTGATCCGCTTTCTCACTAATCCATAGTTATGTAATTGAATAAACTGTCGTTCTAATACTAACGCAGCTCTGCACCTACCACAGGTTCCTTCGAATCTCCAACCATTCATACATGACACCAGAAAACCATCCTTTTAACTGTATTTCCACGTCCTATCCTTTTCATCCGTCATTCTTACAATTACGATTTGTTCAGCAGCCTCAGGTCTTTCCTTCAGACTAAAGATTCGAGACTTGAGAACATGATAGGCTTGAGTACTATGCCTTAAGGCTTGAAATTTTCCCACTGGAGCAGTAGCGTGCTATAATTGTCCAGGAAAGCGATGAGCGCAACAACAACATAAGAAAAAATTCATCCACGCTGCCTCCAGAATTATGAGGTGCTAGTTTGTGAGCCACCAATTTTTGTCACGAAATTAAGCCCAAGCCTCGCAAGTGTCATATTCTTGCGTAAACATATTATATCCCAGTAGGAATCATGAACGCCACTTTTAACAATTCCATTATTCACGTAACGAATGTATGTGAAGAAATCGCATACGGCGGCTATCTGAAAAGCGACAAGAAAATCACCAGAAAATCGCAGTCTCTTTTGCATTTGACGAAAATTTAAACTTGAGTAATCTAACTGAATCCATCTAGTTTCATCCTTCTGTTAAAATCGCACAGCGGTATTTTTTCTAGAATTTTTAAAAGAACTTCGAAGATGTACAATTTTTTTTCA